AGAGTGAAACATATATGCATCCGAAGAAGTGGGTTGTAGCCCACGAAAGCTTATGCTCTAATAAATTTGTTAGTCTCTAAGGTGCCACAAGTACTCCTGTTCTTTTTGCGGATACAGACTAACACGGCTGCTACTCTGAAACCTGTCATTATTTTTTGGTAGTGTGATCCTGAGGAAATCTCCATAACTATCATTAGCCTGCTGAAATAGAATTATTTTGTGGTGGGTCATTCAACCATTTATTAGTTATCAAAACAGAGGGATAATCACGTTTCATCAATTAAAGAAGGTGCATATATTAGAGCTCCAATAATACTTACTGATCTAATTCTTCATGTCTTCGTGGTACTTCTTCCTTACGGTCTTCAAATCTGAATGTGCAGGCATACATCTCAAGAGACACCAGTCTATGGCAATTGTTTACACAAGATGAAAGAACTATTTGATCCATTGGAGTAAGTTTATTTCGACTTATCACTATTTTGGTGAAAGGCTCCAATGCATTTTTCATAAAATTTCCATCTTGGATCTCATACAAACAGCGAAACTCCTCAAGCTGACAAATGATTTTATCATACACAGAGGGCACAGATAGCACTGTTTGTTTTTGTGTTTGAATCCACTTCATTAAATCTGACTTAATTTTAGGTGAAATTTTACACCCAATTTTTTCCTCCATGTCCTTTATACTTTTTTCATTTAAGAGACCATACAGGAATCGCACTGTTAACATTAAGTAATTTCTAGAGTTTCCATAGTTTTCTAATAATGTTTTCACATCTTTCTTGGGAGTCCCTGAATCTTCCATTGTTTCATCTTCCTCCAGCACATAAAACAAGGCTGCAAAAAACTCCTGAAAGCTTAAGTGAATGAAGCTGTAGAGACATTCAGTGTCAATATCCTTTTGAAAAATGTTTTCGTTCAAAAAGAGAGGGAGAGCATCTTCCTGATCTAAGCCCAACATCTTGATTTCTTCTTCCTCAAACAGTATTTTTCGCTTCCAGATTCCATCAGCAGCCAAAGAGCAAAGTCCTCTCAAGCTCGCTTTCTTGCATGGCTTTGAATTGCTGCCAGGAGGGTTAACTAAACTGGAAAGATAGAGCACATACATTCCGGTGGTTGTTTTGGAAGCTTGTGCAAGATCCTCGCCTTTTTCAAGCTGTTGTTTCAGAACCGTGCAGATGATCCAACACACGATGGGGACAAAGCACATGGTGAAGAGAATTTCATTTTCTCTCACAAATCTAAAAGCTTGTCTTGCTTGTTTCTCATTTCTAAAGAACTTATGGAAATACTCTTTCCTGTCAGCTTCAGAAAACCCCAGGATCTCTGCGTGACGTTCACACTCTAAACACTTCCCCAGTTTCTCCAAAGCAGCTGGTCTTGTAGTGATCAGCAAGTAGGATTCAGGAAGAACTGTTTTCCTAAATAAACTGCTCAGTATAATTTCCACTGGCTTTTTCTCCCAGGACTCAGAGCACAGGTTATCTTTTGACTGATCAAAGGAAAATCTCAGTTCATCAAATCCATCAATTATGAACAGGAGTTTATCTGGTTGTCCCAGAATGTGATTAATTGATGTCTTATTATTAGGACACTGTTTTAAAATCATGTCAGCCACACTTACTTCCTTAGTAAGAAGGTTCATCTCCCTACAATTTATGTAGAAGACATAATCAAATGTTTCCTTATAAAGTTCCCCAGCTGCCCAGTCCAACATGATCTTTTTTGAAGTAATTGTTTTTCCAATCCCTGCTGCTCCCACCAGTACAACAATCTGTGGTGTTTGTCCATCTTTGTCAGGTTTAAATAAGGTATCCATGGTAATCACAGAACTAGCTCGCTCAGTCATGGCTTCTGTATGTTTCTATCCCGTGGCTATTATTTCATGTTCTCGGTTTTTTTCATGAAGAGGATTGTTAACAATAATCAACTTTGTGTATCTGCTGTTTAGCTTCACATTCTCACCAAGACGAGCATTCCTGTCTTTTATTACTTGATACTTTTTTTGTACATATTCTCTGTACTTCACCCTGAAATCTAAGTCAGTGACATAAAGTGTTAGAAATATTGAAGCACCAGAAGTTCAGAATAACGATAGTTAAACTGTTACAGTAAATCTATAAATTTATAAAATGATAGTACCTTAAATTTATGTTATACCTTTCATTGAAAAGGATCCCCAAATATTTAATTAGATCTGATCCTGCAGCCCTTATTTAAATTATTCATGTGAGTAAAAACTGTGGTAATCACTTCATCCACCACGGAAATGCAGCCAGCTCTAGAGTGAAACTTGTTAACTATTTAACACTGCACATAACACCACATAACAAATGAGGACATGAAATGGGGAAGAATGCCACATGCAAAATTTAATGTTCTCTCTCCTTTGCATGATAATTGTTTGAAATAATCAGTTTTGTGTATCTTTAGAATCATATTCTCGCCAGTGAGGCTGTTCATGTATTTTATGACTCTGTACTATTTTTAATATCTTAATACTTCCCCCTGTAATCTAAATCAGTGGCATGAGGCATTAGAAATATTTAACTGGACATTCAGAAAAAGGATAGACTTCTCATTAATCTGTTCCAATAAAGTTATCTTAACAATAATAATGGTACCTTAAATTCATATTGCACCGTTCCTCATAGAGGATCCTGTAATCGCTTAACTACAGGCCTGATCCTTCTACCCTTACTCAAATAAATCATCCCACTGAAATTATTCATATGCGTAAAGACTGTGGGTATCACTTTATCCCCCACTGAAATTCAGCCTTGCATTGGGTGAAGCCTGGCAACTATTAAACAGTGCACAGCAACTGTATACAAGTTAGGAGGAGAATATCAGATCCAACTGAAACAGTGCTGGGTATTTAGGTGGAAAGAATGTAACTTCACAAACTAGAATATGGCCAGGACACACAGCTTTGAAAAACTGTCACAGAATGTTTGTGGACCACAATTGGATACCTCCACTTGTCTTCCTCACTTTAAAGAGGGTGCATTGGCTCAGTACTGATTGTTGTAACAAAAATCCCCAGAGGAATGTTGTGTACAAGTCTGTAGTGGAAGTTGCCCAAGGTAACAAAAGTCCCACTCAGCCCATTATATAAAAATGTCTGTTAAAGTCAGCAAGAGTTGAAAATCACCAAAATGTATTTTCATCAGTTAATTTTAATGGGATGACTGTTTGTCTGGGGGTCACTAAAGAGAACAGCAAAATGCATGGATTGGAAGGCATGAGGTTTATTATCACAGCTGCCATCTCTACCACCTCCTGGGATCCACCATGTTACCATTGGGCCTTCAGCATCCTGATTCTGAAGGACATTCTGATCATACCAAGAGCCAGAGAGAGGGAACCAAATGACATCACCATCTCCACTGACTTTGGCTAAATCCTGAACACCACCTGGGAGGTGAGCCTGAGATTCCTGCTGCCACCCCCTTCTTCATGTGTCAGTTTTCTTTTCTACCATCTGTCCTTTATTCATGTTTCTAGTTTTCCCTTTCTGCTTTCTGTCTAATAAGAGTCTGGTTTAGCCAGCCAAAACAATTCATCTTTCACAACACTACTAAGTGTCTGAGGCCAGAGAAGCAGCTAAAAGCAATGCCTTAAACAGCTTGACCCTGGTAAAAGTTTGCCATGCCTCAGAGCAGCTGATCAGACCATGTGCTGGATCTGAGATTCTCCAGCAGCGAGGTTGCCAGAGAAAGTCAGCATCAGGGACAAAGGCTGTATTTTCTCTCTTTACTATTCTTTCCTTTCCCCTTTGTGTGAGTTTATTTTGTTTCTTCTTAAAGAAAAACAGTTTGTGACTTCATCAACAGTAGCAGTTGCAACAGAAGGGCATTTCCTGGAGACTGATACTAGCTGTTGCCTATTAAACCCTAGGAAATGCTTTTCACCTCCAGTGCTATTATCATAGTCACCATACAATGTTCCCATTGGGAATAGGTAGCATTACTGATGTATTTGTTATATTCTCCTAGCCTGGGGAGTAACAAGGGAACCCTGTACTAATGGCATCATCCAGATAGACATTTGAACAGATTTTGTTAACATAACTGTTTGTGTGTCAAAGGGATAGTTCCAGGAAAGCATCCAGTTGAGTAAGCAGGCAACCACTGTACTAGGGTAACTTCCCATGTAGATATCACATACCTTCTGCTGAAGCCTCTGACTGTTTTTGATTCAAATACAAATCTGAAAGATAAATTATATTTAAATGACATTGTAAGATTTTAGAGTGCATTTCAATGCAAGTGTATTTATATTCTGTATAGAGCCACTTAGTGACTGAATGATGCAATTTCATCTTGTGCTTAAAAGGTAAGCACTGAAGAGAACATTGCTACCAGCAGTCATTTTATACAGTGTCATTTGCGGGGCAGAGAGTAAATTCAGGAGTGTGTTTAGGGAGAGGGAATCCCCCAACAAACACTCATGTGCCAAAGCAGATCAGATGAAACAATTAAAGGGCCCATATAGATGACAATTGTGCCCTAGTGCAGGGGTTGGACTAGATAGATGACTCAGAGCCTTTCCAAACCTAGAGACCTAAGGCAGACATTGGGGCAGATAGAGGGAAATATTTTTGTTCAAATAATTATAATCAAGATGCAACCACTAGGAGTAGAGCTCCAATAAGGGGGTCTTTTCTTGCCTCTCTCCACAGCTTTTCCCTATATTTAATTATTTTCATAAAACAGTTATTGCCTGATCCACTAGATGTTATTTTATACAATTTTTTAATTATACGGGCAGCCAAGAATAGGTTGCATTAAATAGTTATTGTAACAGATGCAATGGCTAAGTTAAAGGAATAAAATATCCTCTCCCCCATTCCTCAGAAACATAAAGACCCAAATAATTATGATGCTCTCATAGGTTTAGAGACACAATCTGTGATTGGGGCCCCACTGTACTAGGTCCTGTGCACAGTGCTTAATTTGTGCCAGAGCTTGCCAGGACTGAGTCCTGGCACCTCTCGGCTTTCTGCATCAGTTGTGAAAGTAAAAAAAAAAATTGTTTGAGCCCCGGCACCTCTTTCATTACCAGTAAAGCACTGCCTGTGCATATTTACAACAAGACCATCCCTGCCTAACAGAGCTCACAGTTGCATCTGAAGAAGTGAGGTTCTTACCCACGAAAGCTTATGCTCCCAATACTTCTGTTAGTCTTAAAGGTGCCACAGGACCCTCCAGAGCTCACAGTCTACACCAAGTAACTGTTCCCTGCATTGTGCTCTGGAGGCTGCTAAACTTACACCCTGGTGGACCATCCATGGGAGTGAATTCCAAAGGCCTCTAGGGAGAGCCCCACTGCCAGCCCTGGAGCGTTCCATCCCAGGAACCCCAGGCAGAACCAACCCAGATGAGCTTCACTGTCACTGGGGGTGAGAGGAACAGGAATGACTATAACAGGGTTGAGTTTAGCTCCATCATAGAGCACGTGGAATCTAACACTGTTCAGCTAAAGAGTGGATCCCCGTTGGCACTGGCTCTTTACTCTTGTGGGATACTGCAAAGCAGCCTTGAGCTTTTGGAACCACAGCTCTCTAGATTTGCTAGCTACTTCCTGAGTGTTTGTATTGCAGTGATTTGGAGGTTTTTATGTTGGTTTGTTATTATTTTTGTTTTGGGAGGGAGTTGTTTGTATGTTTGTTTTTAATGAAAAATAGCCTGGAAGATAAAGTTCCTGCCTGGAACCCCAGAAATATTCCATGGGGCTAGTTAGCTGTTTGGTGATAATAGACTGGGCCAGGCTCTCTGCAGTGGTCAGTTTCCAGTTACACATCCTCAATTCTCTGTCCCAGCCTGACACAGGGAACAGCACCCTGGGGGCTGTTCTAACTTGCAACAGCTACCAGTGTTCCCCAAGGAACAGTCCTGCAGCTGGGGATCCACTTCAGTTACTCCTCCTCCTCACCTCTCTCTGCCTGGGACACTCCCTCTGCACCACTGTGTTGGTTATACATCCACTAGGACTGTCCCACACTGCGGATTTCCTCAGATGGAGAGTTACAGGCTGCCTCTGCCCCCCTTGTGCCACCTAAGTGGAGAAAAGGCAGTGGAGCAAGTCAGAGAATCTGGCCCACCAGGGGCATTTCTGCTTTGCATCCCACTGGCTTCCTGCTGGGATTTAAAATTTGTCATTCCTGCCATCAGCCTGTTTCTCCTTCTGCTGCTGCCCTGGGGCAAATTCCCAGGTTTTACAGTAACTTTAAGTTTCTTACCCCTCTCTCTTTCTTCACTGAGTTTAGCAGCAGAAGCTCTGAGATTGATCTGAGTGAAAACTTTTATGGTTACATTTACTGCAGCATCTCCATCATAGAATTCCATCAAGAGGTTCTTCGTATCTGTCCTGTCGGCTTTCTCCAGCCGACCTCGGGGGATGCTACCTTTCCCCTCAAAGTCAGAATGTGATAGTTTGTCTTTAAATCTTTTGAAGTCTTCCTGAAGAAGGTTGTCAAGGGCACTTTGAAGCAGGTCACTGATTTTGCTTTGGTTTTCCATCACCAATATCAGGAAAAAGAAACTAAAATACAATGTAACGTCCCATTATTAATCATTAATATGGAATAACAACTGTAATTCCCATGTAGAGGAAATAAGTGTAGCCTAGTGGTGAAAGTAGGTCATTGGGGCTTATGACTCCTCAGTGTTTTTCCTCACAAATGACTCACTGGACAGCTCGTTTTGTCTGTGCTTTAAAATCATAGACTATCAAGGTTGGAAGGGACCTCAGGAGGTCATCTAGTCCAACCCCCTGCTCAAAGCAGGACCAATCCCCAATTTTTTTTGTTTGTTTGTTGCCCCAGAACCCTAAATGGCTCCCTCAAGGATTGAACTCACAACCCTGGGTTGAACAGGCCAATGCTCAAACCACTGAGCTATCCTCCTTACAGTTTATGTACCTGTAAAATGTGACAGTTGTGCTCATTTAACTCCCAGGAGTGTCATGCAGTTAGCTACTGTTTGTAAAGCCAGTTGAAGTTTTAGGATGAAAGGTGCTATAATAATAGTATTTATTGTCCAAACGCATTTCCAGATACAAGGGTGGGGGTACCTAATTTAGACAAAAACCTAGTACAGTCTGGAATCTCTATATCACAGTCCTGGAATAGCAAGACCTTTATGCTGGGAACCAGTGGTAGTTTGGAAAGCCTCTGGAATATTTTAAATGTCAGTGCAGAAGGTAAAGAGCAGCAGTGGTACTTTCTGACACAGTGATCAGGCCCCATAAATCGAGTGTATAAACTATAACTACTTCTGATTAAATTTAGCCCCGCCCAAGAGAAAATGCAGAATATCATGTGCTTACCATTTGGCCAGAAACTACAAACCAGAGCTGGTGGCCTTCAGTTGACTGGTTTCTCTCAATCTTCTCGGCGCTGAAACACAGACGCAAAAAAAAAAATCTAGGAAGAGGAACAGGAAACCATATGCTCAAAGTTTATTTCCTCAAAGCCAAACTAAAACATCTCCAGTAAAAGCTGACCTTCAGCACTTTCTGTATTTTTATAAATAGCCCTCATACTACAGCATATTTGTTTTTAAGCCTTTTGTGTGTGTCTGTGTGTGCACACAAAATCCTTTTCTGGTTTTTCATTCCTCATAGAAGTTTACCTTTTGGACACATTCTTTTGGCCTCAGCAATTTGCGCATCTATTTTCTGTGAAATGGTGGCATCCCAAACTTGTCCAAGGATTTGTTCATCACTCTTCCTCTTGTGCTTACTTTGTGTTGGGAGAAAATCCTGTAGTAGTTTTACCCAAGACAAAAAAGCATACATGTAAAGAAAGTGTGATAGACAGAGAATGGGGAATGCTTTCTGCATCTGCTACATATGCAAATAGGGGTGATATCAGCAGGGGGAGGAGCTTAATTTCCTCACTTTGCTTTTTCTGGTGGTGGGATCCAATATTTTGAGTTCCAAAAGATTATGAGAACAGGGGTTTGACAAAATTAAAGCAAGCAGAAGTGGATCCTCATGGACCATGAACTTCATAAGATGAAAAAGGTACGTTGAAAAAGCTTTACAAGTTACTTGTAAAGTTACTCAGAAGGAAGTTGCTACTTGATTCATGGAGGAAGGAGGCATTTCTGATACATCCCTGTAAGATTCTTTATCTCTGCTGTCTTTCTGGGGCAATCCCCTTTATTCCCACAAAGATCAAATTAGCAGCCCCTTTTGGGGTGATTGCCAGCTTGGGGTGCTTTGCACCCAAACACCTGGCACCATTTGGGGCTTTGTCTTCTCATTGTGGTTTCAGTTACAATTAGGGTTACCGTATTTGAACTTTCAAAAAAGAGGACACTCCATGGGGGGTAGCCCCACCCCCCATCCACCCCCCCCCCCCCCCCCCCCCCCACAGGCCCCCCCAGAACCCCCGACCCATCCAACCCCCCCTTCTCCCTATCCCCTGACTGCCTCCCAGGACCCCCTGCCCCTTTTCTAACCCCCCCAGCCCCCTTACTGTGCCACTCAGACCAGCATGTCTGGCTCCACGCAGAGCCAGACATGCTGCTGCACTCCCCTGCGGAGCACACAGCTCCCCCCTCCCCCAGAGCACTGCCGGCGTAGCGCGCTGAGGCTGCGGGGGAGGGGGGCAGAGGAGGGGCTCTGGCTGCTGGAGGCCCCGATGTGAGCAGCTCAATCTGGCCCAGCCACTCTCTCAGCCGTGCCGCACTCTGCATTGGGAGGGAAATCCCGGACCTTTTTAGATTTTTACAAAGTCCTCCCGGACAGCTATTTAAAACCCCAAAATCCGGACATGTCCGGGATAATCCGGGCGTATGGTAACCCTAGTTACAATAAGAAATTCTCACATTTGTTGTTTTCATTTGCGGCTCCTTAGCCCCAACTGAGAAGGGAAAATGGGACGTTCACCATTCATTTCAGCAGAGAAATGAGAAGAATGGTGACAAGGAATCCATGGGTCCCACTCCTCTTCAGATGGCAACAGAATGGGGGGCTTCTGCCTGGTTTACAGCAGGATTCTGATCCTCAGCTAGTGTAAGTCAGCACAGCTCTGCTGACATCAATGGAACCACCCTCATTTACACCAGCTGAGGATCTGGCCAAGGAACAGTTCATGTCTTGGAAAGGACGGAGGGTCTGGGAAGAATGTAGGAAGTGGCCCATATGTGGGTTCCTAGATAAGTTGCTTCACAGGGGGCAGGATTTGTTTCCATCTGCCCTGCACATAAAGTGAATATGGCAACTGATGTCCTAGAGACACTCATCTGTTGAGGACAGCAATATGGATACTATCGACACTCTCTCGACTTGGTCTCCTGCTGTGTCCATTAGCTTATCTTCACAGTTCAACCCACACAGCCTCTCCAGGATGCCTCCTTCAGGAATGGCACTTAAATTTAATACACCCTTCCAAAAATATGTGAAGAGGATATTTACATCAAGTACTCCAAAGTTAGAAAATACCAGAATTAAGGCTGCCTGTGGAACATGAATTCTGCCTCCTTCTGGTGTGTGCACCATGTTCTGCATATTCAGGGCCATAGCCTGCCATCTTTACTCATGTTAATTTCAATGGGGCTGTTTGCGGGTAAGATATACTCAAGGTGAGTATAGGGATCCTAACAAATTAAACCAAGTTTTGGTGAAAGGTTCATCCCTAAGCATTATACAACATCCTATCCCATTTATGGACAAAGGAAAGTCTGGCAGAGCCCTGAAAAGCCAATGACAGAAAACATGACAAATGCTTAACTAAATAAAAAATTATCACTATTCAACTAAGTTCATCAATCTACTAGCTAGAGACTTACGCTACGTCTACACTAGAAATGCTACATCAGCACAGCTGCAGTTCTGTAGTTGTGCTGCTGTAGTGTAGACACTTACTACAGCGACAGAAAGGGTTCTTCCATCCCTGTAGTAAATCCACCTCTCCAAGAGGTGGGGGCTAAGTCAACAGAAGAATTCTTCCGTTGTCCTAGCAGTTTCTAAACTGGGGATTAGGTCAGCTTCATTACATCACACAGGGTATGAAATTTTTCACAATCCTAAGCAATGTAGTTAAGCTGACTTACCTTTTTAGTGTGGACCAGTCCTGAGGGCCACATGTTTAAAAAGAGAGTCAAATTTTTCTACAATGAGTGACAATCATTGTAAGCACAACAGGTGTCAGGCACCGAGGCTGCAAAGGGATGGGACCCTGCACATGTGCAGATTCCTTTGAAGGACTGTGCCCTTAGATAACTGATAAATGATGGTACCTGCAAATCAGAGAGAGACTTCTAAATGCTGTCATTGGAGCCCAAGATGATTTGTACTCCCAAAACTCAAAGGCTGCAGTAGGCCAATTTAAAAAAAATGACCTTAAATAAAAGTTGCAGCAGAGAAACAAAAGAATCATTAAATTTGTCACCAGTAAACAGGAACCATAATAAAAATGAAAATTAGAAAAGGAAATGGTTTGGCTACCAACAATTAAGACAAATGGTGAAGAAATCTAAGCAAAATCACCGAGTGCTCTTCCTGAGTTACCTCACCAACTGCTGTCCACAGATACTGTTGGGCTGCAATTCTTAGCCACAGGGTGGGGAGATTTATTCTGGTGAGAACCAAGCTTTGAAGGAAAATAATTTAAAAAACATTACAGCAAATATGACCATTCTGTCAATAGAGCAGTCAAAGAATGGAAAGATTTCATACAGCCTATTCTCCCCTGTCTATAGCTGAATCTATTCACTTAATAGTCAGGATGGAAGGGTTTCTAGAGGGCCTCCACAAAAGTGGAAAATTGTAATATCCTGGTTTTTAGGCTCTGAGGCCTAGATTTTCATGGTGACCAGTTATTTTGGCTGCTTAAATTGAGACACCTTAAAGGGGCCTGATTTTCAGAGGATGGATGTGTGATGAAGTGGGGAGGTTTCTTGTTTTTTCCAATTTGCATGCAGAGGGGGTGGGACTCAGTTTCCCTGGGTATTACTGGTTTAACGAGGTGATGGGAGAGGGAGTTTGTTGTTACAGAGGACCAGCGAGGGAATTTGGGATCCCAGCCAATGGCCTGGAGAATGGATACGCCAGCAACTGGTGACCCAGAGGCCCAGCTCAGGAGTCACTCAGGAGGACAATGGGCTGTAAAGAGAGAGCCCTGGTGACCTGACCAGGCGGTTCCAGCCAGAGGGGGTCAGAGGACAGAAGAGATGAGAGGAGGCCCAGGAGACCCAGTTTACCTGGATAAAAAACAATGGACAGAGGCGGGGATCGGGACTGGAGAGAGAGAGCAGGCAGAGCTCATCTGGATGCAGGGAGACTTGGATGTGCTGTGCTGAGGGAGGCTAGGCATGAGGTCCTGAGAGTTTCCTATGTTGTGTTCAGACGCTCAATAAACCCTCCTGTTTTACGCTGGCTGAGTGTCACTCCGGTCTAGAGAACAGGGATGCATTATTCCCTCTGGGAGTGGAGGCCCCAGGGGTCCAGAGCGAGTGGACTCCCTGAGGGGGCCCACAGTGAGAAACAGGTATGCTAAGGCTCAGAGAGATGCGGTTCCAGGAGGTGGAGGGGCTTAACCCCCGAGAGAGAGTGGATCCCCAAGAAGGGCTGTCACACTGAAGGGGGTTCCCCCCCATGGACCACATGGGGCCAAGAGTGGGCTTGATCTGTGAGCCCGTGACAGGATGTTTAGTAATTTCTGAAAACTAAGCTCTTCTCAGTGTCTCAAGTTGGGCACCCAAAATTGCTAGGCACTTTTGAAAATCTTAGCCTAAATGTTTAATTTTCAGTTTCTATATAAAAATCATGAGCATTGATATGGCAGGAAAATGTGGCTACAATTTAAAATAGGAAAAACTTTAGAGATATTTCTTTTGAACGGTGGTTCCGCTTTGGAAAGGAGCAGTTCCTGCCTCTGTATGAGTTTCCATTAATGTAACTCATGATAAGGTGCTATTCCAATGATACCTCACTACCTCCTAAAAAATTTAAAACAGTTTTAAAGCTCTCTGGAGACAGTAGGGGGAAGGTGCCATTCACCACATCTAATGGGAATGTCTGAATGTGGCCAATTTTTGGACATCTACCCTTGATATGATCTTTGAAACTGATGGATCCAGACTGCCATTGGATCTTTCTGTAATATCATTGGATCACCCTATGAAAAGAGAGTATGCACTTTAAACTCATGGCCCCATAGAACTCAAGGGCAAAACTTCCATTGACTTGAATGGGGCCATGATATCATCCTAGAAAATTTCAGGCTTGTGCCTAATTTCCCATTAGCAACAAAGTTCTCCTTAGCTGCATGTTAGTAAAAGAACAAGCTCCAGACACATATTTAATATTAGAGCCTGGGATGCATTTTATAGGAAAAGTTATTAACAGGAAAATGGGGGTCTAGTGATTTCTTTACAATTTGGCTCC